GGTGTGTTGAAGCAGTGACACTCCTCAAATCTCTTAAGAGTTCTAACCAAGATAAATTCTGGTGCTTCAAAGGGTTAAATGTCAGCTGTCTGAAAGACTTAGCTATTCCGAAAGATTCTGGGCAACAGAGTTTATGCTGCCCTTTTGAAATCCATTGGGCTGAGGGCAAACTGAGACCACTGAAGCCACTCTGCCCCAACAACCCATTGGATTTGAGCCCTCCACCCCCCATCTTCCTCAGACATTCCCAGGCAAGTGGCACCAGGACTTCAAGGGGATAAGGTGCGGAGCCACCCAGGGTCTTCCAGGACCCCTCACCTGGGAATTGGGAAGGGAGCCCTTTCTCCTTCACTGGTGGAAGGAACAGCCACAGGTGGGCCTGATTCAGGGTGGGGTCTGTGGTTGTGTGATGGTGGTGGAGGAGGTAAGACATTCAGAATGCTCTGGGCTATTCTCCCATAGAGCTGCTCTTTGGGGTTCACCAGCTGGGGATGGGGAAGCTTAGAAAACTCCCCATGTCTCCTGTGGCTTTGACCCTCTGTGCCCCTGCTTCCTTTTTGCCTTGGGAGGCTGCTACAGCCTAATCCCCAGTCCAGGTCAGACACAGAGAGGCCACTCAGCACCCGGAGCCAGGCTTTCATTCTTGAGCTTTGGGTCCCAAGACAAAGAAATCCCACAGGGAGGAGAGCAGAGGCACAGGCCCTGCAGGGCTGCTCACAGGAGCATAGTCCCCTGCCTTTTGGGAAAGAACTCTTACCTAAGAGGAAGGAAAGAGTTGGGGAGCCTCTCTCTCTGGAATCCTTGTCTCTCTCACCCAAGGTGCCAGGAACTAGGAACCAAAGACTCCATGAGAACTGTGATATGTATCTTGAGCTTTGTAACTTCCTATGTCCAGTTCTGCTTTTTCCTGGTGTCCTTGTTTTGATGAGGAAGAGAACCCTTAATATAGAAAAAAGCAAGATGTTCATTTTTGGCAGTAGCCAGGAGAAAACCAGGGGTACATCCTCCAGTAGGCTTGCCATAATGGGGTGGGGGGAAGGGTGGAATGAGACAGTGGCTGGTGGCAGCTTTAAATTTTTTATTTTTATTTATTTTTAAAGTAATCTCCACACCCAGCGTGGGTCTTGAATTCACAACCCTGAGATCAAGGGTCTTATGCTCTACCACCTGAGCCAGCCAAGCGCCCCGTGGTGGCAGTTTCAAAGAGAAAAGGGGAGCCAGCAAGTATGAGGATCTGAAGCAAGGAAGAAATGGGAGCTCAGGAAGAGGCCGGGGGTGCGGGGAGGGGAGGCCTGGTGAGGAGGGAGACATCCAGCCCTCAACACCCAGAAAGTGGGCCTCAGGCATGTCCTCCCTCCTCCTCCCCCTTCCTTCCACCTTTTAAACCCAGCCCCGGTGACTATCACCTGGGATTGGTATCTCCACAGCCCAGGCCTGGCACTGTTTGCCCCAGACACTTGCAGGGTGACAAATGGGTGGGTTGTTTCGGTGAGGACTGAAATAGCCCAAGCGCCTGTCCCCAGTCTTCAGGAGCCTCCACAAAGGGGCCTTTCCCAGCACCATTTGCTACCACAGAGCAAATACCCAGGCACATGGTTTCAAGACAGCCAGAGGCTCTGACTTCTCTAAAACAGACCCTGCCCTCCATACACCTTTTACATCTGAGTGGTTTGAATGAGCACTGTGAAGATGCTCACGGGCAGCCATCACTGGCCACAGCTGCCTCCCAAACTGCATGGCTTCACAAGCCACTGGTCTCTTGAGCAGCCAAATTTCCCCACGCCCTTGAGAAGGGTTTAGCAAGGAGCTAAGACAGTTAACTGACCCTGAAGAGCCTGGTGGCCATGATAAGAAGACAGGCAGCACAAAATAGTGAGTGTAGGGATCGCAGACCCTGCAGTGGCGGCCAGCACTACAGGCTCCATGTTGGCGGGGGCCACACTGGACAGGGCAACAGCAACAGAGCAGAGCCCTCGTGTACCTAACATGTCTAACAGAGGTGCTGCCGACAGGGGAGGGGGATGGAAAAAATCACGAACTGACAGTTTTAAAATGAAAAACAAAACACGCCTGAAAAAATACATATGGGGCCAAATTTTCCTGGAAATACTGGGCTTTCATTTTCTGTCATCAGGTGGATTAAGTGGAATCAGGGAAAGAATAAAGTTGTATTTCCTGCACAGGGTTTCCTGGCTGGGGTGGGGACATCCAGAGGTAGTTTCCTCAGGCTGGCAGGGCTGGAGGATGCTCGAAGGCCCTGTTATGCCAGGTGTGGTCCAAGGACTAGCAACATGGCCATCACCTAGGACGCTTAGAAATGCACTCTCACGTCTCACCCTGGACCTGCTAAAACTCAATCTGCAATTCAAGATCCCAAGGTGACTCATGCATATTATGTTTGAGAAACACTGCCTTAAGGGATGGTTCAGGTTTCAAATTCTTTTTTTTCCTTGCAGTTGAACTCCACACAGAATCTTCGCCTGGCTGTAAAAGCGGACCGGAGCTGGTTAACTGAGGCGGCCACGCCCCTGTGCTCCTCACTCGCAGCAGCCTTGGAGGTCCATCTGAGAATCTCTACAACTTGAAGTCAGCTAAAACCTGCTAATCTTGCCTCAGCATCTAGTTTGGCATTGATGGGATGTTTAAGATTTTTTTATTTTGGGGGCGCCTGGGTGGCTCAGTTGGTTAAGCGACTGCCTTCGGCTCAGGTCATTATCCTGGAGTCCCGGGATCTAGTCTCGCATCGGGCTCCCTGCTCATCAGGGAGTCTGCTTCTCCCTCTGACCCTCCCCCCTCTCATGTGCTCTCTCTCTCAAATAAATAAATAAAATCTTTAAAAAAAAAAAAAAGATTTTTTTATTTTTAAGTAATCTCTATACCCAAACATGGGGCTTGAATTCAGGACCCCAAGATCAAGAGTCCCATGCTCTTCGGACAGAGCCAGCCAGGTGCTCCTAGGGAGATGTTTCTACTGACAGATGGCCTGCTGTGAGGGGCACAGGTGAGGGGTGTGGACTGCACCTGCAAGCCAGCAAGGCTCTATAGATGGAACACGCTGGCGGACACTAGGGTAAAGCTGTACGTAAGAACCCAGCTCACTGCTCAGTCCGCATTGCCCTGCTTCCTGCCCAGCCCAACCTCAGGACTAGAGAGATACAAGCAAGCCCTGGTGTGTCCCCAGAGAGTGCTGGGTGCCTCAACAAACCCCTACACATAGACACTGGGATAGTAAGCCCACCACAGACCCTGCATTTCCAGGGCTGCTCGTACAGACCCACAATCTTAAAATTCACTTACCTAGGATCCCCAGAATTGACTCATGCGGCAAGGTGACCGTGGCCAAAGCGACAGGCCTCACTGTGATCCAGGCCAGACCTGCACTCTAAGGCCTGGGCTGCCAGGCTTCCTGAGGGACACTTCCTTTAGCAGGCAGGAACCCTCTCCAGCCTTTTTTCTGTGTTAGGGGACTGCTCCCCTGCATTCCTAAGAACTGGGCTCTCTCACATGGGAGATGGACTAGTCTTCAGAAAGTGGGTAGACAGAGCATGAGTCATAACCTGGGGACTGGTTAATGAGCTTGAAGCCCTCACTTTTAAGATTCAAGTCCCATCCATCTATCCTCAGGGAGGGGAGGGTCAGGTGAGGAGGAACATTAAGGCGGTGACATTTCTCGTTATGAAATGTTAGCTGTGCTTCTTCAGGGACTGGATTAAAAATGGGTGAAAGGGGAGTATGGTAGCATGTTTGGGAACCGAGAAGACTAGAGGCCTCTGATCCAAAATGCAACATGCTTTTCAGGCAGGGGCATTAGCCTACCCACATCCGGACAAAGCTGTGACAGAATCCCAGTTGTCAGGTCTCCAGAGAGGTGGCCACTGCCAACCTTGGCAAGGCTCCAGCAGCAATGCCACTGGGGGCCTTGCTGAGTAATGAGAACTGGAGAGGACCCTTCCTAGTGGGCTTGTTGTGACCACAGGCCACAGTGGTGATGACAAGAGAGCGTGGTTACTCTGGTAACCTGGTCTGTGTGAGGCCTTGGTCGAATCTGCCAGCAGCAGGGAAAACAAGACCCAGCATGTATGATAGTGCTACTGGAGACGGACAAAATGAAGAAAGGGCTGACCCTGTGACTGGGTGAGCAGCTGCTCCTCAGGAGCCAGCCGACTCCGATCAAGGGTATGCAGGCTGAGCCAAGGCTCGGGAGGCCACACAGGCAGCATACTTGGGAACGGCACGGGCCCTGCCTGAAGGTGACGCAAGAGCCTATCAGTGTTTTCGCTCATCGGAGAAACACCAACTGCCAGTCTAGGCTGGGAACTTGATCTTTTACCAACTGACCGGAGAGCTAAGTTTTCCAAGCATGGATGTCTTTGGAATCATTGCAACATATTTCGCTGTTTTCGTTCATGATTCTTACAAGCACGGCTAACTTTGAGAACACTGAATTCCGTTCACAGTTAGTATTTCCGCTGCCTTAACTGACCCACAGACAAGTGTACGGGAACTGCCAATACACACATTTGTGTACACACACCACAGTTTTAGAAATTGGGACCATAAAGTTGTACCTATTAGTTGGGGATCTGACACATTACACATTGCCAGGATCATCTCTCATTTGTGGTTTCTGGAGAAAGAACCTGTCAGTATTCAGATGACCACTTTTGAGCTTTCTGACGGTGGACCAGACCAAGCCGTCCACACCTGAGTCTTAGAGTCTAGGTCCTGAGTCATAATGAGTTCACACTCTGAGGGCCCTGGCCTCGAGCATGCCAGGGACTGGTCAGACCTCCTCTCTGATGGCTGCAGGCAAATTCCTAAGCCTGATTAAAAATGCCACTGAGGAAATGCCCACAGAGCACTCCTCATCCCAATGACAACCTGTCCTCTCCGACCACAGGAATGATGTTGGGGCTGTTTCCCTTTAACCCTGCCACATTCCTCCAAGAACCCTACTATGCCCCCAAGAGAGGCAGCTGCAAAGACCACAGACACCTTGATTTACATAAAATTATCTCACTCCATTTTATTTAAGATTTTTTTCTCCAGTTAGTAAAAGAAAGATGTGTCTCTCTTTATACATATGTACAAGTTCAGTTATAAAAATAGACAGCACATTCAAAGAGAAAAAAGGCTTGGCATTTTTCTGATTCCCTCTAAATAGCATCTGTACACAAGAGTCTGGGTTTGGGCAGGGGAATCTTAATGATTTAAATTAAATGATTCCCCTATCACCCCTACTCCAAAAAAAAGTTTTAAAAATCAATCTGTCTAAACTCAATTCCGCGATTTTCAGGTGTGCAAATTAGAGGCTGGCCCGCCCGGAAGCACCTGCTCCACCAGGGACATCAGGCTGGGGGCAGGCAGAAACACCTCCCATGCAAACACCACCCCTTTGCCTCTCTTGTGGGAGGGGGGGGCGCAAGCTGAGGCGGGTGGGGCTGGGGCCAGGAGGGTCGGTACTGAGCTTTGCCCTTTCTCCATCCTCTCCGCCTCACTCCTGCTGTCCCTTCCTTTCTCAGTGCAATATAGACAGTGCATACAGCCAAGCAGGGGGCTGAAGGGCAGGGGTGGGGAGACTGTGCATTCAGGAAGGGCAAGGGGAGTCTGCAAGAGGGGCAGTGAGGATGTCTCCTGCTGATTGAGATGGCTCCTGGTTTCTTTACTGGCTTCTGGGAGTCCCGGAGTGGAAGCTGCTGCTACGGTTGCTGGTGGGACCTGAAGGTTCTCTGGCATGAACCATGCAGGACAGGGGAGGAAATGCTGGGAAAACAAGTGCCTCCGGGCATGCCTCCTCTAGTCTCTGTCACCCTCATGAGCCACTCACTAACCTTTTCGCACTCACTGTTCCCTTCGGTGCTGACACTGGCAAATGGAGTCTGGAGACCCGGGGAGCTGCCCAAAGACCGAGGATGCCAGATACAGGATTTCCTCCCTTCCTAGCCCGACAGGAAATCACAGCCCTAAAAGAGGTCTCCACTGTGGAAGGTTCTTCACAGCACTTGCAGAGCCTCTGCAAGGGACATGACCAGAGCCCAAGTGGAATGGGGATGGAGACTGTGTGCCTGAGCATCTACAGGGGGTCTATGTCAGGCCCTTCCCCAGTGCGAGGTTTAAGATGTGGCTGTAAAGTTCACTAGAGATGCTGCGAGGCCGATCTCTGTCCTTGGGCCTTCTTCCTCATAGGCCCCCCAGAGCACTCCTCTTGAGACACAGGTGAGAAAAGTGCTCACACCAACCACCTGCCTGTCCTTCCCTTGCTGCAACTGGTCATCTCTGCCCTCTGACCTGGGATGTAAGACACTGCACTGGGCAAGCCATCCAAAGACCATATGTGGGCCAGGACTCTGGCCCCTGGTTTGGTTGAAGGAAGCCAGAAGGTCCAGGTGGTTACCGTCCTCCAGAGGGGTTGGTGCCTTTGCCCTGTTTCCGGACCAGGGAGTCTGGGGCTAGGCTGCTGGTCAAGTGGAGGTTCTTGGGAGTCCCAGGAACATTATTTCCTTTGCTCAAAGGGGAACTCAAGGGAGAAGAGGCGCTTGAAGGTCCAAAGTCAGCAAGGCCAGCAGGCCGAACAAGAGACGTCTGCAGAGGACTGCTGGCAGAGATTCCTGTGGGGATGGAGAAAGAGGCAAGAAGAATATAGGCACCAGGCCTGTCTGAGCTGCCCCGGTGCCTCACCTTGCTTGCTGGAGTCTGGGCTGGAGGTGAGGTTGGGGGGAACCCCTCCCACTCCTTGCCAACCTCTTCTTAGCACCTTTGCTTGCTCTCCTGTCAACTGTCTTTTCTGTAAGAGGGATGTGTTTTTCAGGGAAAAACAACACCTACTCAGCCTTCTCCACATCACCTCATCCACAAGGAGTAAGACGTCACCTCGATGCTCAAGGGCAGAGCACGTCACACAATGTGGGGAAGCCAACGCTGCAGGATGGTGTGTAACTTCTTAGGCACTAATGTATTTTCTTACATATTCCCTCTTCCTTCTTGGGACACCACTTGTGATTAGCTGCTCCTAATCACTCCTCCTTCACTTCACAAGATGTCCTCTATTCCCCAAACTCTGCCGCTTCAAGGACCCAGTTCAAATTGCTCATCCTCAGTGATGGCTCCCTGGGTGACAAGTCTTTCTTCCTTGTATGAGCCAAATCCACTCACAACCTCATAACACACTGTCTAATATGCTTCAATTGTTTCTTGCAGAGTGGTCTGACTATCCTGAAAAAGCATATTAAGTGCTTGGTGGACACACAACTGTCTCTTCCCATCCATCAGGGAGCTGCAGGGGATCTCTGAATCAGTCCTTTCCCTGGTTTTCCCATTCCCAGTCACCAAGCATTGTTGATTTTTCTTGTGACACTCTGCCTCTTTCACCCCTCCCGCCCCTTCTCAGACCAGATCTCCAGGAGAAAGCCTGATGGGTGTTGTGGCTCCGCCCATCTGGGGGTGAGACCCTGCCACGGCAGCCTGGACTGCTGCTATGATTGCTGTGTTCCAAGGATGTGAGGAGCTGACAAAAGGTTAAGAAATGCTGGACTAAGCTATTATACTTCATATTCATTGAATGAACAAACCAATGAGAGCCGAGATTCCTGCCGTAGGAGGAAGGGGAAGGGGGCTGACACTTACTCAGCACCTTCTATCCAATAATGGGCAACACCCGCTACAACAACACTTTCAGCTACACACCAAGCCCATGCTATGAGTGCGGAGCCAGTGAATGGCGCTCCCCTCCCCACCCTCGCAGCTGTCCTACAGGCTATGCTTCTCCTCCTCCTCCACACGCCCTGCTCACCACAGCCACCTCCTTTCACCAACTTTCCAGAGCCCCTCATCACACACCTGAGAAGCTCTTGTCCATTAGGTCCTGCCATGTCTCTCCACTCCTGACACCTACTGCTCCTCTTGAGCTTGGCCTGACTGACCTGCTCAGTGACCCCGGATATGCCCCTTCCTTTGTCATCCTTCTCCTTTCTGAGTTACAACCTGGCAACTTCGTCTCCAGGTCCATGGCTTCCCCCTTCTTCCGAGCTATAGCTACGATTAAGGCCTCCCCATTTTTGTCACTCAGTACACGCATGCTGTCATGTATTGCTGTTAAACATATTCCACAGATGGCTCCCTCTTCTCACTTCTACTACACACTCCAGAGCGGGGGCCACGTCTTACTATTCTCTCATGCACACAGCTCGGGTGATGGCAAATGCTGACTATGCTAGCCCGGATTACTGAAACAATTCCTGAAATGCGCATCTTGGAGGGAGTTTCCTGGCCCCGGAGGGTGCCCTACCTGCTCTCCGCGCCCAACACTCCACAGGCCCTCCAACCTGTCCCTCACCAGAAGGGAGCCTGCAGCTCGCCCCTGCCCCCAGGGGCCTCCGCACCTTTAGACACATTGTACCCGTATGCAGCATAGGCGGCTGCTGAGGCCGCCGCGGCCCCTGCTTTGGCTCCTGCCATTGCGGCAGCACTGCCTGCGGTGGACTTCCGGCTCCGGCCTTTCCCGGCTCCTTTGGCTGTGCTTCCTGAACCTTTGGGGCGGCCTCGGCTTCGAGCTGAGTGACCACGTCCTGCGGCTGGCATTTCCTGAATGGAAATTCCTGTGGGAACAAATGGGCCAAGAGGGAGAAAGAGTCAATCTCTTGACATGTTAACAGAATCTTCCCCGGACAGGCAGGGCTGTCTCTCGGCGTGTTTCAGGACTCCCAGGGAGGGCTCCGTCCCCATTTAATGGCTGGGCCAAGGAGTCACAGAGTAAGAATTCTGAACAGCTAAAACAGCCTGACTCCTTAAGCTGCTGCTCATTCTAAAAGAGTGGTTCCACTACTCCTGAATTTCTTCTTTAAACGAGTTTCATCACTAAATGAACCCCAGGGGTGTGAAGCCTGTGATTCACCTGCGCGCTTCAATGTGCTCCTGCCTTGGAGAGTCAACTTTTACTCCCAAGTTTTAAAGCTAGAGCTCCTCAAGAAATCACACCATGGGCCCCACAGAACAAAGTGAGGAAAGGCCCAGAGAAGCAAACTTTAATTAAAAACTAGCAAAAATAAAGGTGGAATATGAAAGATAAGGCTGACTAGAAAACAAAGAAGTTTGAAATCTTTATAAAGTTCTTTCTCCCTTTCACTTGACAGGGCTCCTGAAAGAATAAGCCTATCAGTTCTTTTTCCTCCACTTGTTTACAGACAGTAGAAAATGCCGTGATCTTAGGAGGAGTTGGGACTTCAGCACGAAACCCATGCTTCCCCTGAGGCACTGGACCAGGCCCAAGCTGTATGAGACCGCAGCACCACTCACCGTTCACAGTGTCTGAAACGGAGCCTGTTATGGAAGCAGGAGAGTTGGTGGCCCGAGACTGGGGGGCTGAGGAGGCTGGGTCATCCACGATGACCAGCATATCACTGCTGCTCTCGTCCGGGGGGATGGAGCCGGTGTGCAGCTCACTGCTGATGGAGATCTGGAGGAGGAAGGGTCGCGATCACCACCATTCTTGGCGCCCACAGCCCATGGCCCTCATACCCATGTGAGGACGTGCTTCTCAGACCTCATCACTATTTCTCTCTCCTGCCTGGCTTCATTCCTGATGGTGAAATTCCCTGCTTTGGCTCCAGAGAAGCCAGCCTGTCCTCATTTCCTTTTCTTCTTATGTATTCCATGTGCAGCCCCCTTCCCCAAGGCAGGAGAACTCCAGGAGAAGCAAAGGCTACAAGGTCAGGACATAGTCCCCACCGCTGGGATGAAGGCATCTAAAAGGAGCCTCACCTCACTGAAAGGGCTGGGCATGGCCGAGTCCACGCTAATGAAGGAGTCATCCCCGTCAGCAGAGAGGTTGGAGTTATCAGCCGAGGGAACAAATGGGATCACTAGGTTCACACCCTCCTTTCTCCTTTTACCATCCAATTCATCTTCCTTTTTCTTCTGGGAACACACAAATCAAGAAATTTGGAAAAAGCATGAAGATAGGCACTAAAAGAAAAGTGGGGTTGGAAAAGAAAGTGATGACAGAAATCTGACTCTCTGTAAACTTACAGGTTTTTTTTTTTCCATTAGCATACTTTTAAGGAAGGAAAAAACTCCTAAGGAAGGAGGAAAGGCATAGCTTAAGAAGAGTTTATGTATATTCTATCCCAGTAATACAGAGCTGCGAGGCAGGCGAGTCACACCGAATCAGGGCTGCACGAAGCCTGACCCATGAGGGGCATGTCCGAGCTGCAGCACTCGTAGGGGTGGAACTGATTCAGTCCTACAAGAGGGAGGCCCAGTGCCTTTAGTGTATTTTCTGCACATCTGTTTTCACTCTGCCTTCTTTTTAAATATGCGTAAGGAGAACAAAGGTTCTTATCATACCCAAGAAATAATGGGTTGCTTTTGTCATTATTTTCTCAGTTTACATGTAAATGCTTATGGGTTGAGCTACATTAAGCAGGTCTAGAACCAAGTTTAGTAGGGCTCTGTCACAGATCAGGGACCTGAAATCGCAGAATATGCTTGGAAAATTCTGGGAATCACATCCACTCACTGTATCTAACTGCATTTGTATCCACCCCTATATCAGGGTTAATGTCTTTGTGTAGTTTATACTACCACTGGATGTTTATCTGAAACTTCTTTACTCAGAGCAGGGATGGCTTCTGATGCAAACTCAGCAAACCCTCCAATATCCTGTATTAGAAAACCACCTTTTGTGGTTCAAAGACTTCATTGCTGTAGTTTGGATTATTTCCCCTCCCGCCAAGCCCCATCCCAAAATGCATTTGTAATTTTGTGGCTGAGGGTCATTTGTTTGTTAATGTACTGTGCCTTTAACTTTAGACAGCTTTTTATTTTGATGTCTTGTTGGCTCAGTAATGCTCAGGATATCAACTGTTTTGCAAAATAAATTTACTGAACTTGGGCTAAAATAAAAACCAACCAAACAAAAAACAAAAAAACCCCACCACCTTTTCTTCTTTGATGTTTCTGAATATTAAAGCTATTTTAATTCTAAATAGTAGTTAAGTAATGGGTTAGAGATTTGAGGGTGGAGTCACAGTTCCTGGATTTTTCAACTTTGATACAGTGAATACCAGGGCATCCTTTGGGTTAGAGATAGTTCTGCTTAGCAGAAGGTACAAATGAGGGTATGGATTTTACAAAAGAAGAGCTGGTATATCTACTGGAAGATGATCAAATAATACAGACAAGTTCCTAGGCTGCTGACCATCAAGGTCATATGGCCGAAGGGACAAGGGACATGAGGCCCAATACAAGCTTGGATAAGGGGAAGAAGTCAACCTCCACTTACGACAGAATCAGTATCAACATGTGGTCAGACCATGTGCTTCAGACAAACCAAACAGTCCAGGAAAATGAAGCATGGATAACTGCTGGGCTTGAGGACCCATAGCTATCAACATGCCTGAAGCTCACAGTAGCTATCTTGTTCAAGACCAAGGGCCCAACGAGGGCTGATAAAGATGGGAAGGGCAGCAAAACCCAAAGGTAAGCCAAACCCACCAGAAAAAATTAGGAAGTACTTTCTGAAAGGTAGTAAAGTGGTTCTGAACCAACAATCTTTAGGTGTTAAGTCTGGGAACCCGGTCAGAACCAATGGGCCAACTCCTGAAACAAGAATAAATCCTGAAGGCCTCACTTCAATTTACTTGTCAATAAAGACCAGAATAAGGATCACTGAAATAAAACTCTGGTAGAAAGAGCAAGACAGGGAGAAATATAAGGGGAATTACATCCCACTTCACAGCTGGCCAAGTGGGGTCAGGAGGGAAATGTCAGAAGGGAGACAAAAAACAGCTCAAATCTTTGACATAAATTAGAGAAAAAGAGATAAACAGATTGGTCAGTGATTTCTTTTTCCAACAACAGATGACACTGAATGGAACACTAGCAGAATTAAGGTAGGATGGATATAATGACCTCTTAGGCCCTTTCTAAGATTCTACGCAATCTGATAAGGTAAGTAAGATCCATCTTATCCGCATTTAGCCTTATGCTTTGCAACAGCCCCGACAAATGATTTCCATAATTACATGTGACCAGACAAGGTAAGTCTGTGTGGGGACTACTGGTCTACCAAGGCCGCATTTCTCCTGATCAAATGTCATTCAGCACAGAACTGTTACCACATACAGCTGTAGCTGGATACCAACCAGTAACCAAGATGATAAGCCATCTACCCAAAGCTTTTTTTGTAAGTGCCACCCTGTCCCCTGCTGGTCCCTGCTGGCCACCCAAAGCTTGAGATACCTTCTCTGCATACTTCTCCCGCTTGCGCTTGCGCTCTTTGACTCGGTTGGTTTCCTCCTGCTGCCGTTTCTCTTCTTGCCGCAGTCTCACTAAGAAAATTAAAAAGATTTTTTTTTTTTTTTTTAAGACTTTATTTATTCATTTGACAGAAAGAGACACAGCGAGAGTGGGAACACAAGCAGGGGGAGTGGGAGAGGGAGAAGCAGGCTACCCGCGGAGCAGGGAGCCCGATGTGGGGCTTGATCCCAGGACCCTGGGACCATGACCTGAGCCGAAGGCAGACGCTTAATGACTGAGCCACCCAGGTGCCCGAAAATTAAAAAGATCTGAAGATCTGATGAAGTATCTGTGGTAATCATAATTCTCATTCTCTGAAATTAAGATGGCCACACCCTCTGATATTTATGTTCTAGGGTAGGATGTCTGTCTAGGGCAGATTAACTGGTTTTTTAATGTGGAGAGGGAACAGAGTTCTTGGATTTTTAACAGTTTTGGGGGTCAAGCCATCATTCAGTTTAACTGTCATGGGCGTTCCTTGCCTTTATTCTTTCTCCTTTTCTTTTCTTTATTTTTTAATTTTAAAAGATTTTATTTATTACGTGACACAGAGAGAGAGAGAGGGAGAGAGCAAGCACAAGCAGGGGGAAGCAGCAGAGGGAGAGGGAGAAGCAGGCTCTCCGCTGAGCAGGGAGCCCGATGTGGGGCTTGATCTAGGACCCTGGGATCATGACCTGAGTTGAACTGAGCCGCCCAGGCACCCTCTTTCTCCTTTTCTTTTCAGCCTTTTAATATCTCTGCATTGCAGAGATCAAGTATGATTGTAGAGTCCTGAAAGGGTTTTCGAAGGCGGTGGCAAGGTGAGCACTGTAAGAAAGGAGCTTCATCAGGGGCGCCTGGGTGGCTCAATCGTTAAGCGTCTGCCTTCGGCTCAGGTCATGATCCCAGGGTCCTGGGATCGAGCCCCGCATCGGGCTCCCTGCTCTGCAGGGAGCCTGCTTCTCCCTTTCCCACTCCCCCTGCTTGTGTTCCCTCTCTCGCTGTGTCTTTCTCTGTCAAATAAATAAAATCTTCAAAAAAAAAGGAGCTTCATCATACTTTCTGATGTGATGCTGACATCCTCACGGGCTCACAAGGTAATTCTGAAACCAACTATTCTCAAAAGCCAGCAAGCAGTACATGGGAGAATGCTACAGCAGTGTGTTTTTCCAACTTCTCCATAAAAACACTTCTTTGGGCAGAACAGAGTAAATTCATTACTGCTGAGGAGTCTAGGGATACAGCCTCCCTGATGCAAATTTATTCAAAGTCATAGTACTTTTAAAATACATGTGAGTTTTGCCTTCTACTCAACAACACATTTTTTTTTTTTTTTTTTAAGATTTTATTTATTTATTTGAGAGAGAGAGACACAGCGAGAGAGGGAACGCAAGCAGGGGGAGAGGGAGAGGGAGAAGCAGGCTTCCCGCCGAGCAGGGATTCCAGTGCGAGGCTCGATCCCAGGACCCTGGGATCATGACCTGAGCCGAAGGCAGATGCTTAATGAATGAGCCACTCAGGCACCCCTCCATAACACATTCTTATTTGGGTTTTAATATAAGTTATTAACATAAAAAATGCTTCTACCCAAATACAATCTTTGGCTTTGCTTACCCTTGGCACACAGCCAAGAGGCCCTACCATTTTCGGATGGGTGAGGCCAGAGAAACATCTTTTATAGGGAGGAGAGGGCTTTAGTAAGAGGTTTAGAGTACATACATTTCTTTTCCAGCTCTTCATCATCTAGAAGAAGACTAACCACCTCTTTGGGTTTTAAGGTATCTGGTTTGAAGTTCCCACCAGAAATCACCATCCGCTGAATCTATACCAAAGCAGATCAAAACATCACCACCAGTACCCATTCCCTTATGGCTAATATCCAGAAACAAGGCAACATCTTTCTCAATCTGCTCTTCTGGCACTTGGATTCCCTATTTCTTCTCATTCATCTCACTGGCTCATTCAGATTATTTATCCAACAGAAAGAACAATGAGAACTTCTCTTGCTTGGGACTGCTAATTGATAGCTAGAAGATCCAATAATAGAGAAATCAAGATAAAAAACCCTCAGACCCCCAAATAATCATTTCTTTGGCAACTAGCAAATTTGGTATACAACTTAAGAGGCTGTCAAATCGAGAGTACTAGGATGAGAGCTCAGATGTCATTCCTTATTCCCCTGCATGGTAAAGCATGTGAAACAGGAGGGCCATGACCGGTGTCTCCCTGCCATGAACAACAGCCCAACCTAGCCTGTAGAGACCATTCAGACCGAAAAGAAGTGAGGAATGAACAGCCAGGGCGGTACAGGGCTTGACTTTATTTTCTATTCAGAAGAACTTTGCGCCGCTCCCTGACCCACAGAAGGCAAGGGTCTCAGCCCAGTAAATGTGGTTGTACTTTACAGCTCCTCCACCACTACAGTACTTGCTCTGCCTGCTGCTTACCTCACTCTTCTCCTTGGCTCGCTGCAGAATGCGTTCCTCAATGGTGCCTTTACAGATGAGTCGGTACACAGTAACCTGCTTTGTCTGCCCCAAGCGGTGGGCTCTGTCCATGGCCTGCTGGTCCACAGTGGGGTTCCAGTCGCTGTCATAAAAAATCACCTGCACGGGCAGGACGAGAATACAGCGAAGACTGAGGCACTCTTACGGCAAGGCCAGGAACTCTAAGAGCAATCTAGCTACTTGTCATTTGCAGTAGTTTGATGCCAGATTTTTTCCCAGGATATTAAGATGAGCAGACATCCACTCATAAAACCAAGCCATTCCTTCACTTGTCTTGGACAAAACAGACATACTCTAGCTTTTTTTTTTCAGGATTTTCATTTAAAAAGAGGGAACAACAATAATATTAATAGTTAATTAATACTTAGTGCTCACTATCTGCCAGTCACTGTTCTAGTTGCTTTATGTGTATTAACTCACTTAAATCCCATAATCACCATGATTTAGGTACTATTAAGACCTCCATTTTATAGATGAGGAAACTGAGACACATAGGATTATAGAATTTATCCAAGATCACAGAGCCTAAGTACGTGGTAGGCCTATGAGGTGGGGGATATGAAAGCCTTCTCTCTCTTTTTTTTTTTTTAAGTTTTCATGTATTTATTTAAGCAATCTCTACCCTCAACGTGGAGCTTGAACTCACGACCCCAAGATCAAGAGTTGCATGCTCTTTCAACTGAGCCCGCCAGGCATCCCTGAAAGCCTTCTCTTTAACACTAAGCCTACCACGGTAAGGGATAGGCATAGCTTTCCTGGCATTCTCCGGCTCATATTTCCTATCCCTTGAATTCGGCAAAGAAACATTTAAGGGTTCCCTGGAAGCTACTTTTAGTTTGCTAAACAACAAACAAACAACAACAGAAATGTCCTCTCCTCTCCTCCACCCCACAAGTCATCCTACGGCCAACAGACTCCTGGGTCCTCAGTCCTGAGGCTACTATTGAATATAGGGGATGTCCTGAAAGAAAGCAGTTCCAAATGGTCCTCATGCGTCCTCATCTATATTCAAGCAAGTCACCAAATCCAGCCACTGCTTCTTCAGAAATGAACCTCTCCTTTTTATAGTCCTACTGTCCCTATCCTGGACCGGGATCTCATCACCTACACCTGGCTCGCTGCCACTGTCAGACCAACAGGCTTTCTAGAGCTCGGTCACTCTCTTCTTTAGTCTACTTTGGTTACCACTGTAGGCCACTCTATTTCCCTGCCAGTTATGCGGTAACACACCAAGTCCAAACTCCCCTCAATAATCAGGCCTTGCTATACTGAGCCAACTTCATTTCTATTCTTTTCTAAAATAAACACGCCCCTTCCTTTTTGTTAGAGAGGTCTCTTCAGTGCTCCTCACTCATGATTGTTTGCATCACTTTTTGCTCAAGCTCTTTTTCTGACCTGTAGTCCCTCAATTCTTCTCTATTGGCCCTTTAAGGTTTGATTCAAGCTTCCCACTTTCGAGAAGGCCTCCCTGATTTCTCCTGCCTATAACAATATCCCTTTTCCCTATTCCTCGTGGATTCCTACTAGAAATAATAATGGTGAAAATCTGTTCAGCACTTACAATGTACCTGGCACTAGTGTGCATACATATCTCACTAAATTTTCACAAAAACCTTGCGTGTTTTCTTCATCTTATCAATCAGGAAGAGACTGGCCTGAGTTCATGGTCCTAACAGTCTCCCTCCACAACCTGCACTATTAACAATACCTTGCAAGCACTGCCTATCCTGGTCCAGTTCTCACTTAATCACTGTCTTCTATGGGTGTCCAATTATTTCATGTGTATTATTTTAAAAATCTCCCTATCTGGTTATATTGTAGGACAGACAGCATCCATCTGTGCAAAGTAGAATTCCACAAATACTAGTTGATTAATACTAGAATCTGTAAAGGAATTGATCAACACTAGACCAAGCCTAAAAATGTAAACTCAGTGATTCACTCTGAAGTAATTTATTTATTCTCTCATTTAAAATTGGACACAATTCTGCCATTCTCTGCAGAATTCAGACTCTGAGTGAAGATGGACAAAAGACATCGGCATTTGCAACACTCTTGCCTACAACAGTAAAACCCCCACTGGCTCTTTCTGATGCTGCTTCTTTTGTCTTGCTTTTATGCGAGGTATAATCCCGCAATTTTTTGCATCAGTCAGAATCCTTGGGGAGAAAATTACTAACTGCCCGCCAAAGAAAAGAAAATCATTACGAAAACTTACTGCTAATCCACAGTGTCCACAGACCTAGGATTCTGAAGTACACAATACTTGCCATTTGTAGAGGAGCAGAGCAAACCTGATGACGGGATATTTTGGAGATTCAATAGGATATGCAAAATTCTAGAAAATCTACTTTAAACTTTCAGAGAGAACAAGGATAGGAAGACAGAGTTAATGAAAAGGAGGCCTCTGATTGGACTGGGGAGAAACACTACTTGCCCAACACACCTAAAATGACTATTACTGGATAATGACAGCTGATGTCTCATCCAAAAGACAGTACCTTTAGCTAGTTACCTGAGCCTGAGGCAAGTGCAGCAGGAATTCATAGTGGGAAGTTCTACGTTATGAATCATTTCATAGGTGCTTCCTTAACATTTACATTTTTTCCTGAAGTCTCAGTGGCAACCAGACCTGATTCAACTTAGGTTTTTTGAGCTCATAAAAGGTAAAAAAATTAAAGTTAAGGAGACAGGCTGGCAATTTAACTTCAAAACAACTCCCACATTTAGTGGCTAATTATAATTTAAATGGGTTAAAAGAGGTGAGAAATTTGGGAGGACTAGAATAAAATAAGATTCTATTAAGAAAAATACGTACCAGGAAAAAGAGTATGAGGTATATATAAGCTAGTAAGTTAACACAAGAATGGGAGAACTAAAAACCAAGCCAGATAGATGGTTATTATCTAACCTGACAATGAAATGAACACTGAATCAATCAGGACTTGAACTGGGGGCGGTGAGGAGGGGTGCCGGGGGAGACAATGCCCACCACAGTGGGAAAGAGATGACACCTAGATTTGGTAATCAGGTTTATGGAGCTCAGTGAGACATCCTAGAGAAAAACAAGTAACAATTAAAGGATAAGAACAACTAATTTAGCCAGTAAAGATGAAAGCAAATCAAATGGATGGCCACAAAGCATGGCCCAGCAATGACTAAGGGGAAATATATTAATAGCACCTTCATGAAATTGTACACACCAAGCTAGACAGGCATGAGGGGAGGAGGGAGGTGAGAGCTTAGAAGGGGTGGAGGCACTGGTTTCACAGGTCACTGAGATGGAGTTTCAGGGGATGAGGGAGTGAAACAGAAAACAGGAAAATTTTGAGACGAACAACCGGAAAATTGGACCAACACTTGGAGGGTGAAACTCTCACCCAAGAGAATGGGTGGGAGCTCAGTACCTTGGGAGGGCTGAAAGCTGTCTGTCCCATGTTGTCTCATAGGACATATAGGAATTCTCACATTGCCACCAAGAGAAAAAGGCTCCTCCTCCGTCTCTCTCTACATGTGAGCATTTAAAACACAGGTCTGACACAAGAACAAAACAAACAGTGCAGTTTATAACAACCGTTCACCTAAAGACAGACAAATGCAAAGAGTTCCCTACTTTAGGAAAAATATACAAAGAACAAAACAGTAAGGGGCCATTAATCACATGCTAAAATCATGTTTTTACTAACAGAGTGGGCCAGAGTCCCACTGTTTACAAAATACATGTTTATCGACATTAAGTTTTTCCTGACATTTTAGGCTGACTAACTTCTTCCTTGTCCATAAATGGTTCTGGGGAATCTTCCAAAGCTAAATAAATCTCAGGACAAAGGAAGAATGCCAGGCAAGCAGTTAAGCCTATTGTTTCTCTGAACACACACACACACACACACACACACAGACTGTTTGACTTCACATAAAGCATAACCTAGAAATTCATTTCACACACACACACACACACACACACACACACACACACTCTTTGACTTCACATAAAGCATAACCTAGAAATTCATTTCAATCTTGAGGAACATTTTACTGAGAAGTACTCCAGGAGGTTCTAATTTACAAGTAAGTCCCCAAGCCTTCCCCTCAAAATTAAATGTAAATTACTTTGGAATTGGAAACTCAGAATATTCAGAGCCTTTTCTCTCTAGTCCCTAGGATGAAAAGGGAATTCCTACTTCTTTTTTTTTTTTTTAAATTTGACAGAGAGAGACACAGTGAGAGAGTGAACACAAGCAGGGGGAGGGGGAGAGGGAGAAGCAGGCTTCCTGCAGAGCAGGGAGCCTGACGTGGGGCCTGATCCCAGGACTCTGGGATCATGACCTGAGCCGAAGGCAGACGCTTAACCTACTGAGCCACCCAGGCGCCCCGGGGATTCCTACTTCCACTCCTCTAGCCATGGGTTCGGCCTATTTTGGTTCTTTGTGGTTGGCAGACCTCCTAACCTCCACACGGCAAATTATGTGAATACTGGAAGCATAAAGCAGGATCTCCTCGCTCAAATCTGCTTTTTCTTTTTCTTGACTATGCAAATAAATGACTAGGAGAACTATTCCCTTAAAAAAAAAAAAAAGGATTTATTTATTTATTTATTTGAGAAAGAGAGCGTGTGTGAGCTGGGGGAGGGGCAGAGGGAGAGGGAGACAAGCACACCCCGCCCCCCACCACTGAGCAGACCCTGAGATCACAACCTGCGCCAAAATCAAGTTTAACTGACTGAGCCAGCCAGGCGCCCCAAGAACTGTTCCTTAAGAAACCATAGACCAAACCTGAGATAGGCAGGCTGAGATGCATTTTAATCACATGAACTTATGCTTTCTACTGAACTCCAGACCCTGCTGCCTGGGTGACCGTGCCCCTTGGTGTTTGCTAAGAATCTTGAACTGAACACACCCCAAATCAAACTCTCGATTTCTCCTCTCAAACCCGTTCCTCCCAGCATCTTCCCCTTAATTGCTAATTGATGTCCCCATCATTCCAGTTGCCTAGGTCAAACACCCTGGAGTTTTCTTTGACACCTCCCACACATCCCACATCCAGTGTAGCAGCAAACTCTACTGCCTGTGCCTCCAAAATACATGGAAATTCCTATTATTTCTCCCCATCTCCACTGCTTCAACCCTGTCCAAGTCACCATCACCTTGTGTCTAACTCCTAACTGAACCTCCTGCTTCTACCTTTCTCCTTGTAGATCTTCCCACCCTACTCCCCAAAAGCCAGAGGGACACATTTAAAACCCAAGCCAAATCAAGTTACCACTCTGTTCAAATTCTTCCAGGGGCCTCCCATCTCAAAAGTCTTACAGCCCATGAAGGCTTCCACGATCTGCTTCACAACACTTATCTGACAACCTCTCCTCATCATCCGTTCTGTTCCACCTACAAAGGGCTGCTCGCTATGGCCTGATCACGCCAAGCATGTTCTCGCCGCAGGGCTTTGCACTTATCTCTTCTGCCTGGAATGCTCTTCTTTCTGCCAGATATATGCTTGGCTTGCTTCCTCACTTTCTTCAGATCCTGGCTCAAGTGTCACCTTATCAGAGAAGCTACACCAGCGCATATAAAACCACCACCCCGGATCATGAATGGGGTCTTGAAGAATAAAAAGAAGTTTACCAGGTGGAAGAGACGCTGAACAAAGAGTTCGTGCAGCAGTGTAATACAATATGGTATGTTCAGGCACAAAAAGTGAATCATTATTTCTGGAACATAAATTTTGGGAAGGGGAAAGTAAGTCTGGCAGTTAGACTGGAAAGGATAAAGGTCACAAAATGAAGGGCCTTGTATGCCATGTAAAGGAGCTCATCCTTTGTCCTGTAAGATGATGGAGATTCCCTGAGAGTTTTAGGCAAAGGGAGTGGCATGGTTAATAAAGAAGGTTATAAATAAACCAAGAGAATAAATATGGGGCTGGGGGCTGAGACTGGAGTCCAAAAGATTCACTAGGAGAAAGTGGTTTCTCCTATACTCACACTGAGAGTATGACTATATGGAATGCTTAAAAAATACAGCTGGAACCAAGGAGTAAAGAGAAAGCCAAATTTCTGCTATCTGATGTGACACCAAATGAGCCACCACCTCGGAGAACCCACAAGAACACACCTACCACCAATGACAGCCTTCCCTTAAGACTACCGAAGCTGATGATGCATATTAGATCTAGCGTCTACCCAGCCAGGCTTCCAGCAGTCGTCACGCCCTGGAGCCTTGTCCAAACCTGGTTAACTGGCTGATGAGTTTTATATGCCAAGGAAGGTACAGCTGAGTCCTGTGCTGATATTCTACTTAATGATGTTACAGAATCTGCTTTTCTTTCTTGAGGTCAGGCAGCTCTACAGTACAGTAGTTAATAAGGAGAGAGAGTGGACACAGCCTAGGGGTGGAGATTAGGAAACATGGGCTCTAGTTCTAGCTCTGCAGCTTGTGAGTCTATTCAAGCCTCTTCTCCCTTCTACCTCATTTCTCCATGAATCTCCGGGGTTTGCATCCTCCTCCCATTTCTGGGAATTTTCATGCTCTGTATTTCACAGAGAAGCACCACAACAGCCACATAAAATGACATTTTTAGAATCATACTTGCTACAAAACAATTTCCCACTTATGCATTTTTACGTCTCAAGGTTACTGAAATTGTTATTAAATATATCTGAACACTGGGAATAATTCTGAGATTCAAAAAGGAATGCTCTTTTCCATTTCAGTCAACTGAAGTATTCTTCCAGGGAGACTAGGTATGAAAGGATAAATAATTTTGATACAATGTCTTAATTTTTTTAAATTACCAATTTTGTTGCTCTCCAATCACCTTTTGAAGTTTGGGATAAAAAAGTATGAGTTTTTCCCATGGTGGAATAAGAGCATAACTGCATTAGAGCAATAAAACAATCATTTCTGATTTTGTTCAGTTATAGCTCCTAAAAAAAAAACCTGTTAATCCAGCCAGATTATTTAAATCTGTTTATTCACTGAGGTACTTGAAGTGTTTAGAACAGTATCAGACACATAGTTGGCATTCACTAAATATTTGTTGAATGAATGTGTAAGAAACTTATTCACAGAGAATGGACAGAAAAGTCCAGATGGAGAGCTAAAATGTACTAGTTTCAGCCAAAATGCAACTATTGTCTTATAACATAATGAGGGAAAGAAATAAAAAGTGTGACCCAAAGCAAAGGATAATACCAACTGAACAACATATTTATACTAGAAAACCTGCATATCTGGTATATGTTGTGGCGCTCATTACTTACTGTATCTGCAGCAGTGAGATTGATACCCAGTCCTCCAGCTCGTGTGCTTAGCAGGAATACAAAGATGTCATTCCTGTAGAAAAGGGAAGAAGATATGTTAAGAGGGAATACTAAAAGAGAAGACAGCATGCATGTGGCAAAAACAGAGATCTCTGAAAACAGAATAGTGTCCAGGACTAGAAAGGGTTATCCAGGCCTGATCCACATTTCTTGACACATTGTACCAAGGTGCTCTGATGTTAAAACAGAATCATGGTTGTCATCTCCTAATATGCAGATATACTTCTGCAGCCTACTAATACTGATAGACTGATAGGCAATATAATTATAAACATGTAGCAAACATAACAGAAAAATATGTTATCATGGAAACAGTTATATAGTGTCATAGTTCAAACAAGTCAAGCCATTCCTAGGTTCATACAGAGGGAATAAAATCAGTATCCCTTGGCACTTCCCCCAGGAATCATGACTACCAATAATTTGGGAACTAATGATTATACTTTCCCAAAGCACTCATTTTCAGAAGAATAAAGTCAGTCCCAGAAAAATGACCCTGAGGTCAGGACTAAGATCCAGGTCATGACTTCTATGTATTAAGGTGAACTTAGGATCAATCTATGAAGACAGGCTGGAATTAAAGTACTTTTTAATGTATGGCAACATAGCCCCCGTGATTAGATATAGTTGTCTCAGTTTCCCTTGACGTCCTTCGTCCTTTTAAAGAAACCCAGAATTATAAATAAACTGGTAGGTACCACTGTCACTCATTCAGACAACAAATATTTACTGAATACCTTCTAGGAACAGGCCCATGCCAGGTCACAGTGAGCAGGCTTGGACTACAAGATTTATCTATGTACACACACAATTAAGGGCTCAGTTTGATCCCAATTCTTGCACATTTTTTAAAAAAAATTTATTTATTTATTTGACAGAGAGAGAGACAGTGAGAGAGAGGGAACACAAGCACGGGGAGTGGAAGAGGGAGAAGCAGGCTTCCCACCAAGCAGGGATCCGCACGTAGGGCTCGATCCCAGGACGCTGGGATCATGACCTGAGCTGAAGGCAGAGGTTATTTTCCAGAACATTTCAGAGAGAAAGGAACTGCATTATACCGGTGCGCAAACTTTACAGTCCTTTAAATCAAGCTGCTAATCTCTTTTCTCATGATTAAAATTGCAGGTCACACCTATTACTGGTCATGAAATCAGTTTGGTAGATTGGACTACATTAAAGAAATAAAGAAACGAATAGAACAGATTAGAAAATATTGTAATACAGGGGTACCTGGCTGACTCAGTCGGAAGAGCATATGACTCAAGTTTCAGATATGGCATAGAGGTACTAAGAGGTACTAAATTCCAATGTAAAATGAATTTTACTCATCCCTTGATGCTGTTCTTCCCTGGTAAAGTCATTTGACTGAAGGTCTGTTTCCTGGACTATAAAATGAGGATGCTCTGAATACAGCTGAAGTGACTAAGTGATGACATATCAACAGTAAACATGAGTATCAGTGAAGTTAGCCTCCTGGTTAATCACTAAGCTGTGTTGGTCCTAGAGAAATCTGTCTATTATTTGCATTTAGTTAAACACAAGGTTCCCAGAGGCAGGAATGATAACAAAGTATGTCTGCAGGCCTGTTACAAGGCCAGATTCCAAAAGGTCTATACACCCACTGAAGTTCTACTAGTTTATCCTTGAATATTATCAAATTTAATATTTCATAATTTTATTTATTTAATTTATAAAATGTCCTCATTTATAGTTAATACATATAAGGCAAACCAAAAAGTTAAAAGGTACATGCTAGTTTGCAAACACATTTTCCTATAGATATGAGATGATGTGAATGGAAGCTTGATACCTTACAGCCCAGAGGAGGGTATCTAACCACAGTGAGGCTGCAAATAAAAACTGATTGAGCTTTCCAGGGCTGTAGTAACTAATCTCTACAGAAGAATTCTTCCTTCTCTGACCCTCTGACCCTCACTGCTCCTCCCCATACTTCTCTCTGCTGCTTTGGTGGAAACAGAAGCAGTGGTCAGAGGCTTCTCTCCAATACCTGTGTGAGAGGGGACGGAACCACCCAAAGGTTAGGACTCATGGTAATTCCTAAAGAAGTCCATAGCCTGAGCAAGGGGTGGGGCGGGGGAAGGGAGAGGAGACAGGGAGGGAGGTAGAAAGCAGTTGGGAACTGCAATACAAGGAAGGGTAGAGGCAGGGGTGCCTGGGTGGCTCAGTTGGTTAAGCGTCTGACTGTTGATCTCAGCTCAGGTCTTGATGTCAGGGTCTTGAGTTCAAGCCCCATGTTGGGCTCCACACTGGGTGTGGAACCTATTTAAAAAAAAGAAGGGTAGGGGTGCCTGGGTGGCTCAGTTAGTTAAGTGTCTGCCTTTAGCTTAGGTCATGATCCCAGGGTCCTGGGATCGAGCCCTGAGTCAGGCTCCTTGCTCACTGAGGAGCCTGCTTCTCCCTCTCCCTCTGCCTGCTGCTCCACCTGCTTGTGCGCTCTCTCTCTCTGTCAAATAAATAAAATCTTTAAAAAGAAAAGGGGGTGTAGAGGCAGAAAAATGGGTCATTTCCATAGTCTGGACAGCCAGAGGTAAGTCCCCAGATATGGTAATTACTTATAAACAGGGACCACATATAGAAAAAACAGTGAAGGGAATCTAGGTAAAAATAAATCAGTAGCGGGGCGTCTGGGTGGCTCAGTCATTAAGCATCTGCCTTCGGCTCAGGTCATGGTCCCAGGGTCCTGGGATGGAGCTCTGCATCGGGCTCCCTGCTCCGTGGGAAGCCTGCTTCTCCCTCTCCCACTCCCCCTGCTGTGTTCCCTCTCTCACTGTGTCTCTCTCTGTCAAATAAATAAATAAAATCTTAAAATAAATAAATCAGTAGCAAAACTTAGAAATATATAACAATAGAAGACACTTTTTTTTGGGATATTAACTATGTATTGAGAAGATGCCTTTTAATGATAAGGTAGATGGTAAGCAGCAAGGTTTGATAATTTTATCATATTGAAATGAAAAAATAAGGATTATGGAAACCTTGGGTTGTTAAAATAAATTACTGTCCATCCCAGAATACACTGCTGGATCATTTATAAATAAAAACATCTAAATAAAACTGCTGAGAAATTCCTTTCAACTTAATAAATCTAGTATTGATAATGTGAACTACTGTTTTGGGGGCTCTGACTAAAGGGAAGAAAACAGAATCCCTGAAGACAACATGATGGTTTGGGTGCCCTCTAGGGGGCTGAAAAAGAATTTCAACTCAGGGTTTCCACTGGAGCAGGCCTCAGCAAGCAGACTTCTGGGCGGTCTGGGAATGAGCCTATGAAATCATGGAGCAAAGATGTGCTTAGGTCTCTTATTCTTGTTTAATGACCCACTGAGGCCACTTTGCACCAAAATACCCAAATAGTCCTGGCATGTAGCCTAACCGACTGCAGTGAAGACTTGCTCAATGACTGAAAGAGAGCCAGAATGAAAGAAGAGGCTGGAACTCTACAACACTCTCACCAAGAAAGAAAAAATCAACACTACACTCACTTTCTCTCATGTTTTCTAAAGGGTCACCCTGAGGGATCAGATGATGTGTGTGTGTGTGGGTGATCCATATGGTAAAATGTTATGGGTAGGAGGAAGGGAAGCAAAGGCTGAGGCACTCCAGAGCAAAGACCTTGTGAATGGCTTCTAGGATCATGCACTGATCACATGTTCTGAATGTTGCCCAGTCAGGACATCCTGGCCAAACAGTCTTTAGTCTCAGCCGGACTCTTTCCTGGAAGGATCCCTCATAAATAAATCTTGTATGAAGGGAATGTAAATGGCTTTTTATAGGAGTTCTTGTTTACTCTGGCTGACCTTTGAGCCACAGGGCTCTCCAGTTGAAACTACATTTTTTTCTTTTGATGTCTTTTCATTAGTAATAACAAAGATATTTGGCAAGGCATGCTTTTTTGTTTTCAAAAACACCTGTCTTTTTCTTTATATTGGGCTGTATCAGCCACTCAAATTTGTAAGCTGAGACCTTTTTCCCATTTGGAGGGGTCTGCTGGATAAGCTTATCAACATAGGCACAGTTCAGACTCTATATATGAGAAGAAGAGATTATGTCCTACTCATAATTCCAACTCTAGTCAACTAACTACCTCACCATGTAGGCAGGGAAGGAGACATTAGTCTGTTTTTTTCATTTTGCCTAATATTAGACACAGGTGTTAAAATGATGGTTACTCAAATGTTGGATCTCAATAAAAAACACTGCTCCCTAAATAACTCAGTTATAGGGTCTGGAAGCTTAAGTAAGGTTTCCCAAGAAAGCTGTGTAAAACAAGTATTTACTAAGCAAATCTAGTATAATTTAATGGTGAATATACCGTTCTTTTAGAACTAAGCTTTTCAAAAACAACTGTGCGATGTATTACCCAAACAACTGTTCCACAAGTTAAAGATTTCAGAAATAATGAGTTGGATATATCTAGTAGTCCTTTCCACTAAAAGACCACTGTAAAATATACTGAGCCTGGAATCTCATGTCTGCTGGGTCAGCTAGAAGAGCTGTACCTCTATGATTCAGAAGACTGAATCATTACAAATCAACATACTACAGCTCGTTGGATGCTAAGTTGGCAGAACTTTCTACAGAGCAATGTGACAATTTGCAAAGTCTTAAATATTCATATCCCTTCACTCAGTAATTTTCCTTGTTTGAATCTCTATTAAGAATACTAAAATGCTGGGACGCCTGGGTGGCTCAGTTGGTTAAGCGTCTGCCTTCAGCTCACATCATGATCCTGGCGTCCTGGGATCAAGCCCCACATTGGGCTCCTTATTCTGTGGGGAGCGTGCTTCTCCCTCTGCCCAATGCTCCCCCTGCTTGTGTTCTCTCTCTCTCTCTGACAAGTAAATAAAATCTTAAAAAAAAAGAAAAAGAAAAAGAAAACTAAAATGCTGATGAAGCTTTGTAAACAAAGATATTCACTCAACATTTTAACAATAGAAATATGGTATAAATATCCAGTGTAATGGAATATTAGTCATTAAAAATGATTACA